CAGCCCGCGGCTGCAAGTCTCCATCCCTGTATCCAGCCCGCGGCTGCAAGTCTCCATCCCTGTATCCAGCCCGCGGCTGCAAGTCTCCATCCCTGTATCCAGCCCGCGGCTGCAAGTCTCCGTCCCAGTATCCAGCCCGCGGCTGCAAGTCTCCATCCCTGTATCCAGCCAGCGGCTGCAGCAGTAAGTCTCCGTCCCAGTATCCAGCCAGCGGCTGCAGCAGTAAGTCTCCGTCCCAGTATCCAGCCTGCGGCTGTACCTTGCCCACCCAGCATGCAGTGTTGGCCGGTGGCTGTGCCGGCCCCCTTGTGTCCCCAGCCAGGTGTGAGTGGTCCTGTCACATCCAACAGAGTGACAGTGGACCTGAACGAGGAAGGACCACTCACACCTGACCAACAAGCTGCGCTGTGTGTGATGGTCAAACGGCAGATGGTGGACAGAGCACTGTATGTAAAAACTGGAGGCAAGGTAAGAAACTACATTTGTTTAAGGTATGCTTAAAATCTGCTTTCAATCAATGAGACATCAATACAACATTTTAGAAACAATTGGTCTATCATTGTGGGCATTGGTCTATCATCAATACAGCATTTTAAGAAACAATTCTTATCAATGAGACATATCAGTTCAGTATTCTAGAAACAATTTTCTTATCAATGTGGGCATTGTGGCTCAAAAACTGCCAAGAAAAGTGACAGCATTCAAAAAACATGCATGAAATGCACCAAGATCCTTTCTTACTCTTTCTTTCCTTCTATTATTCCTATCTTGGATTGAGCCTAAAATAAAACAGGAAACTGAAACATTACTTCCCAAGAACAAGTAACCTTGACAAATGATTAATGAAACTGGCAAATACTGGTAATACATGTACAGTGATGTCATGTACATGTTCTGTCCAATATTATTTCTTTACATGAGAAATGTACATATAAAAAATTACATGTACAAGGAACTTCCAAGTAAGCAATGTCCTTTCTCTTATTGTACAGCCACTGCACTTTGTACAAGTGCCAGTGTCCCAGAAAAAATCCAGTGAAGCGGCACCATCCACACTGCAGAAGCGAGCTCAGAGGGTGAGCGATTTTAGAGAGAAGATCAGTGGTGGCTCGGGGGAGGAGCAGATGGCTGCGGAGCTGAAACGGCTGTCCAGGGACCGGCTCCTCCAGGTTCTGCAGGAAGGCGGGTTCGCCCAAATCCGGATCCCAGACGGCCACCTGCTGGGAGCAAAATCAGGGCTCAACTTAAACTGGGGACAGTGTAGGAGCCTGAGAAGGTACATGCTGATCATTTCTTGAACCAACTACTTTCATTACATGTATGGAACAGATTTTGTAAAGAAATCTTTATGACTTAACATTTGTCTCTCAAGTATGGTGTTATGGTAGAGTTTGAAAGGAAGGTTCTAATAAAAAAGGTCTTAGGCCACACCAATTTAATTTGTTGGTTCTCAGATTTTTTCAGAAAAATAAAAAGCGACAGGCGAAAAAATACAAATAAAACTACAAATAAAGACAGGTCTAGGCATTCTATTAAAGCCCCAAATGCTACGATAAAAGGCATGAAGTCAACACAAAAGGAACGACTCCTCCTTTTCTAAGACTGCTCCATATAAATCTAAATGTAAGACAGTTATCTTGTCACATATAATAGCTGTAAGAACACAAAAGATTCATGATATCTTATTGTTGACCCTCTTGTTGACAGGTGGATGAGAGAATATGGTGTAGTTGTTGAAAGTGAACAGACGTCACGGAGAATCGCGGCGGACCTCCTCTCAGCAACCACAGTGGTTGCTGAGAACCTACCGTTTACAACGAAGGATGACGATGGAACAAAGAGAGTCGAACCTAGGCCTTGTGCCTTCCTCTCCTCGCTGGTGGCTGCCGTCCACGACTTCCTGGAAAGGAGCAAGAAAGCAGGGTAAGTTTGGTTCCTTAGGAAACATTGTGTAATATCATCATAAGACCTTGTCTACCTTCATGTATACAGGGACAGTTATATATTCGTCCTTAATCAAGGTTTGCTTTCTTTTACAGGAAACTAACATGGCACAGAGGAGGAATTCCTGAAAAAGAGATCTGGCTAAAGATTGGGGGGGATCACGGTGGGACAACGTTCAAGATGGCCTTCCAGCCCCTGAACATCAAGCACCCAAACTCAAAGGCCAACACATCAGTGTTTTGCCTTTTTGAGTCGAAGGACAGTAGGGAAAACATCACGACGGCCCTGGCAAGGTACAAAGGAGACCTGAAGAAACTGGAAGAGGAAATGTGGAAGTATGCACACCTTTTTTTGTGATATAACAATCATACAATTGTACTTACATTCAATATCCAGTTGACATGATTGCTAAAAGGGTCCTTCGTCTCGCCTTGTATGTGCTCAGAGCGGGCTGGAACGGTCTGTTTCCAACTTAGACTGATGCACTTGCTTCGCTGTATAAACAGATAATAGGAAAGGTCATACTTGAAATATGCCTCAACCTACTATTCCAGAAGTGAGGATGGAGAAACATACCAGGTCAAGATCTTGATGACGGGTGACTACGCCTACATGTCAACCATCTATGGAATCTCAGGCGCAGCTGGTGAGTTTTAATCAGTTTAAGTTTTAATCAAACCAAATGCAATAAGTCAGTTTCATTTAAATAACATGGGAGCAGTACACGGTACACAGCCAAATGGGATAAGCAATGTTGTTGGTTGTATAACAGGTACATATCCCTGCCTCTGGTGCAAGATCACGAAGGCAGGGATAGATGATCCTGACAACAGAACATTGCGGACGTCTTCCCGGGACCTAGACAACATGGGAGAAGATTTCAGAGACTTCATCCAAGGAGGCCAGGGGAGACTCAGGAGGGCGCAAGACTTCCGAAACATCATAGCGGCGCCACTGTTCGACATCCCACTTGAACAGGTGACCAAATATATTAAATTCACAGCCTGCTAGCAAATTTGAAATACCCCCCGTACATGTATTTGGCAAACTTCTTATTTATAACAGATGCAACAAGTTGAAACCATTGAATTTCAAAAAAATTTCCTAATTACCTACAAGTTGTTTGAGTCTACAACTGATAATTTCATTAAGTATTCTCAATAAGAAACCTTAACTAAGTCTGACTGCTTAGAGAGTGTTTACAGTGATAAATCATGAGCCCAAGGGCTACCCACACCTTAACAAGGTAAAAAAAATGTTAATGCTTGTTGAAAATATCATTTTCAGGCAATTGTACCAGGCTTACACATTAGCCTTGGTATTTTCCTGCGGTTATACCAGGAGTTTGAGGCTGCGGTGCAAGATCTGGACTTAAAGGTACAAGCGTACCTACGAATGCTGGTCCTGAGCGAGCCTGACAACCGCGAGGAAATCATGGCGGACCAGGAGCTGGGGCCATTCCAGCGATACGTGGACGCCATCGACGGTGCCCAGAAGTACCGGTTGGAGGCCGATGAACTGGACCAAACCATCGAAGAACAGGAGGACCAGCTGGCTTTCCTGGCCTACCAAATGCAAGTCGACGATGAGATGGCCGAAGTCGTCTTTGCTGAGGCAGCATCCATGGTCTCGGACCTTGTGCGAAAAAGAGATAGTCTGGTAAGTACATAATCTGCAAAATCTGCAATAGCATGTAAATATGTATGATTTTTTTCATCAATGAACAATGGAATGTTACATTTGCAACAAGCATAATTTTGGCCATCCTGCTTTTTGTGCATACAGAGAAAGAAAGAAGAGGAGATCCTGTCGAAGGCATCAGTCAAGCCTGGAAAGGGGCCACTGGCGAGTAAGCTGGAACCTGTAATGAAGACCTTCAAAGTGAGGCGGGAGATGTACCACAGCAGGACGTTTGTGGGCAACCACGTGAATAGGATGCTGCATGTAAGTACAACTGTTTGTCTATCATGTCCCAAGAGACATAAAACTGAAAGAAAAGAAATGCATAAAAATACATTTTGTTGTACAAAATGCTGCATACTTGTTCCTGTACCCCTGGTGACTTGTTTCCTATGTACATGTATGTTTGCAGGACAAACCCATAGAGGATCTGACGTCCAGCGTGGTAAACACAATGGTTGACCTCTGCGAAAAGAATGACTTTCCACTGAACATCCTACGGCTGGGAAAACAAGTCGCAGAGAAACACGAGCAACGTTTCAAGCTCTTTGCTAAGTGCCACAGGGTGTACTCCCGTGGTGATCGGATAGAGGAGAGAGAGATGGACCAGCTAGGTAACACTGTCATCTATTATGGATACAAAAGTTTGGAACTATTCAGTTTGGCCACATTGGCTAATAAAACAGGAGCAAACAATTAGAGCTGACTCTAAGTGTCATGTGTGTTGCTGGAGTACCTGGGGTATTAGTATTGCGGCAATTTTTATCAATTTAAAATAAAAAGAGAGGGATGGCTCCTTCAATTTTACTCTTAGTCTTATTCAGGATTTAACACAATCTTTGAATAAATATATATTTTGACATTCTTCTAGCGCACGACATAAAAGAGTTTATGTCGCACTACCGGAGGGATTCCAAATCCGTGAGTATAAAGATGCACTTACTGGAAGATCATGTGGTCCCGTGTATCCGCCACTGGGGCTTCGGCCTTGGTTTTCTGGCAGAGCAGGGGATTGAAGAAGTGCACGCACAGTTCAACCACATCTCCCAGTCAACACGTTCCATCGCTGACCCTGTTGCACGGCTGAAGGCTACACTGAAGGCACACCTGCTAAAGGTCAGCCCAGACCACACGGGCAAGATTCCTGAGCCTGTGAAGAGAAAGAGGACTCTGTAGTATAGATAATTTAGTCATTTGTGGTTAATAATAATAATAATACTGTTACTTATGTAGCCTACCCAGGCCTGTATGTAAACCTATGTACCAGTAACCTTTACGCTTTACCTGTGCTTGTACCTGATGTTATAATCTAGATGCACATGATCACTGTATGTAGTCCAACACCTTGCAATATTTCTGATGCAAAATGTATTGAAAGATATGTCAAACCTGGGTCTCTAAAAATATCTAATTATGTTGAATTTGCAAATACTTTGTAATGTTAAGGCATCTTGTTGTAAGTAAGCCAAGGCTCTGAAAATAAAATACTGGGTGCATCACTGCATGTGCACCTTAGTGCACCATAATATTTTCAAAGGTACTAGTATATGTATGATGGAGGATGATGATGTAAGTAAAAATGTTACTTAAATGTATACAGCTACGGCTGTCTCGGAAAAACTAAGTTTATTAATGTTTTTCTTGTTAAAGGAGGAGTTCAGAAGAGCACGAATTGTTCAGGTACAGTTTCAGGTCCAGACCTGTACCTAAACCTGTGTTAGTGTGTACCTGTACCTGTATCTAAAATTTGTTTAGGTACACAGCTCTATATACAACATATTCTTAACAGTGTCAGATTTAGAAGAATAAGAATAGCATTGTTAAAGTACTTTTCTTTAGCAGTGTTAGCTAACATTCTACTTATTTTATCTTATAAGTTATATAGTGCACACAAAGGTTAGGTTGGGTGCACTAGCTGAACTAGTATTACCAAACATGAATTTCGAGCCCTGTGATCTACTGTGCCAGCAGTTTGTATTTCGCTGTACAGTCCAATTTGATATTGGAAAAAAAATGAAACAAGCTTGACATAGTACATTGTTGTATTATTACAGGAAACAGAAAAATATGCTGAGCCCTGTATATGAAAATGTAAAATTGGTAAAGCCTGGTTATGAGCTTTCCTGTTGTGCCTGTTGTCAATATTTACACATTTACACACACAAGAATGTGCAAACTCTTGACATCATTTTACATGGATAGACAAAATATTGTGACCTACCACTTAAC